CAAGCGATAGAGAGCTAAGCGATCCCACATCCAACGGATCAGATCTAAGATCTGCAGTCCTGCCACATCCTGTCGTGAATGATAGTGGACAATTAAACAACTCACTGGAGGAGGCGGCTCCACAAATATCCCCATCCTCAATGATGGAAGAGCCCAGCACATCAGTGCAAAAGATAAGGCTGAAGCATTCGCAGCAATCTTCAGCCAGAAGTGCCAAGTAGATGATCCATCTCGGCCTCCTCCAGTGCTCCCCAGCATTATACATACCAGTCTTCAGCCAATTCAATTCACTCCACATGTCAAGAAATGGTTGGAGACACTGGATACTGCAAAGACTATAGGCCCTGACAACATTCCGGTAATGGTACTGAAGACTTGTGCTCCAGAACTTGCCGCTGCCCTAGCCAAGCTGTTATAGGACAGTTAGTTACTACACTGGTATCTACCCAACAACGTGGAAAATTGCCCAAGTATGTCCTGTACACAAAAAGCAGGACAAATCCAACCTGGCCAATTATTGCCCCATCAGTCTCCTCCCGATCATCAGTAAAGTGATGGAAGGTGTCATCAACAGTGCTATCAAGCAGCACCTGCTCAGCAATAACCTGCTCAGTGACGTCCAGCTTGGGTTGCGCCATGGCCACTCAGCTCCTGACCTCATTACAACCTTGGTTCAAACATGGACAAAACAGCGGAATTCCAGAGGTAAGGTGAGAGTGTCTTGACGTCAAGACCAAATGCGGCATCAAGGAGCCCTGGCAAAACAGGAATCAATGGGTATCAAACGGCAAACTCTCTGGTGGTTCGAGTCGTACCTGACACATAGGAAAATGGTCGTGGTTGCTGGAGGTAAATCATCTCAGCCCCAGGACGTCTCTGCAGGAGTTCCTCAGGGTAGTGTCCTAGGCCCAAATATCTTCATCACCAACCTTTCCTCTACCATAAGGTCAGAAGTGGGGATGTTGGCCGATGATTGCACAATGTTCAGCACCATTCGTGACTCCTCAGACACTGAAGCAGTCTGTGTCCAAATGCAACAAGATCTGGACAATATCCAGGCTTGGGCTGACAAGTAGAAAGTGACATTCACTCCACACAAATGCCAGGCTATGACCATCACAAATAAGAGACAATCTAACCACATGTTACCATAAATGAATTCCCCACTACCAACATCCTGGGTGTTATCATGACCAGAGACTCAACTGGGCTTACCACGTTAACACAGTGGCTACAGGAGCAGGCCAGAAGCTAGGAGTGCTGCGGCGAGTAACTCATCTCCTGACTCCTGAAAGCCTGTCCACCATCTACGAGGCACAAGTCAGGGGTATGACGGAATACTCCCCACTTACCTGGATGAGTGCAGTCCCAAAAACACTCAAGAAGTTTGACACCATCCAGGACAAAGCAGCCCATTCAATCGGCACCACATCCACAAACATCCACTCCCTCCATCACTGATGTTCAGTAGCAGCAGTGTGTACTATCTACAAGATGCACTGCAGAAATTCACCAAAGATCCTTAGACAGCACCTTCCAAACCCACGACCACTTCCATCTAGAAGGACAAAGGTATCAGACATATGGGAACACCACCACCTCCAAGTTCCTCTTCGAGCCACTCACCATCCTGACTTGGAAATATATCGCCATTTTTTCACTATTGCTGGGTCAAAATCCTGGAATTTCCTCCCTAACAATATTGTGGGTCAACCCACAGCAAATGGACTGCAGTGGGTCAAGGTGGCAGTTCACCACCACCTTTTCAAGGGCAACTAGGGATGAGCAATAAATGCTGGCCAGCCAGCGACACCCACATCCCACAAATGAATAGAAAAACAAACCTCTCGGCATTTACCCTTTCGAATCCTGCATGGTTCAATAAGGTCATATCTCATTTTCTACACTCCAAATACAGGCTCAATGTATGCAATCTCTCCTTATGAAACAGTTCCTTCATACCTGATGTCTGCCTAGTGAACTTTCTCTGGACTGTCTCTAATGCCAGTGCATCTTTGCTTAGATAAGGGGCCAAGAGCAGTTCCCGGTATTCCAGCTGCAGCCTGACTAGTGCTTTGCGTAGCTTTAGCAAAACCTCCCGTCTTTTATACTCTATTTCTTTTGAATTAAAGGCTTACATTCCAATTGTCTTCACTATCACTCACTGAACTTGTTAGGTAGCTTTTTGCGATTAATGGACAAGGGCTCCTAAATCCCTCTGTTCTGTAGCTTTCTGTGTGTTTCCCTGTTTACATAATAATTGTCCACTTGCTTAATCTGCCTACATCTTTCTAGAGACCCTGTGTCATAGAATCATAGAACAGAATCGTAAAATTCCTACTGTGCAGAAAGAGGCCATTTGGCTCACCAAGTACACACCATCCCTCTGAAGAACATTCCACTCAGACCCAATCACCAACCCACCACACCCACCCCATCCTATCCATGTCACCCTGCATCTACCATGGCTAATCCACATTACCTGCACCTCCCTGGACACCACATGGCAATTTAGCATGGCCAACTGACTTAACCTACCCTTGGACAGTGGAAGAAAACCAAAGCACCTGGTGGAAACCCACGCAGCCACTGGGAGAACATGCACACTGCACAAAGACAGTCAAGAATGGAAGTGAAGCCGGGTCCCTGGTGCTGAGGCAGCAGTTCTAACCACTGAGCCACCATGCTGCCCATTACCTTCACTTCATTCCTTATCTGCTTTTGTGTCACTTTCAATTTTGGCTACAGTACATTCACTTTTCTCAGGCAAGACATTAAAAGTTTCCAATCCAAGTTTTTCACTTTCAAACTAAATGCTAAATTCTACCATCTTATGGTCACTTTTCCTTAGGGGATCTTTTACTCTAGGATCATTTATTAATTCTGCCCAATGACAAATCACCAGATCCAAAACATCCTGATCCCTGGTTGGATGCTGAGGAAATTGTTCTTGGAAACTGGGCAGGATACACTGTCAATTTTTCCTTGTGGCTACTTTTGCCAAATTGATTCTCCTAACCTACATAAAGATTCAATCATTCATGATTAATGTACTTCCTTTTTTACACAATTTACAATGGATATCTTACAATTATTCTCTACCAAACTGAACAAATACTATGCCCACCTCTTCCCCTTGTTATTTCGTGCCTCCAAATCCATATTGATTCTACATCATTTAATCCTGGATAAATTCCTGCCATTGTACTTATTCCATACTCAAAAAGCTGCTCCACCACCGTTCTCTCGCTGCCAGTCCTTTCAAAAGATCATATATTCCTAAATATTTAGTTCCTAGCTTTGATGTCCTTGCAACTGTTTCCATAATGGTGGTAACATCTATTTGTGCCAATAATGAATTTGGATTGCTCCAAATAATAAGAGCCACTATTTTTGTCTTTTTAACCACTTTTCTCCTCTGACCCTATTTGTTGTTTTTGTTATTCATAGTTCACTAATGCCCTCCAGGAAAGGAAGTCTGCCATCCTCACCTGGTCTGGCCTCCATGTGACTCCAGAGCCACAGCAATGTAGTTGACTCTCAATTGCCCTCTGAAATGGTGCAGCAAGGCACTCAGTTATATCAATCGCCACAAAGTCTCAACAGAGAAATGAAACTGGATGAACACCTGCTATCAACCTGGGCACTGGAAAAGACAATGGCAGAAATAGTTCTGTCAACCCTGCAAAGTCCTCTTAATTAACATGTGGGGGCTAGTATCAAAACTGGGAGAGATGACTCACAGACAAGTCGTGCAATAGCCTGATACAGTCATACTCCCAGAATCATACCATACAGATGGCATCCCGGGCACCACAACCATCCCTGGTGAAGTTCTATCCTACTGGCAGAGGTGGCAGCACAGTGGTTTGCAGTTGGGAGAGTGTTGCCCTGGTGGCCCTCGATATTCACACTGGACTCCATGAGATTTCATGGCTTCAGATTAAACATAGGCAAGGAAATCTCCTGATTTCCACGTACTGTCTTCCCACACTGATGAATCAGTACTCCTCTATGTTGAACAACACATGGAGGAAGCTCGGAGGCTGGCATGTCACAAAATGCACTCTGGGTGGTGGATTTCAATGTCCAGTACCAAGAGTCAGCAGCACTACTGATCAAGCTGACCAGGTCCTGAAGGACATAGCTGGTGGACTGAGTCTATGGCAGGTGTTGAGGGAACCAACATGAGGGGGAAAGAAAAAAAACATACTTTACCTTATCCTTACAAATTTGCCAGCTGCAGATGTACCTACTCATGATAGTATTAGTAAGAGTGACCATCCCACTATCGTTATAGACACAAACATCCTCCATCATATCGTGCGGCCTAGGAGTGTTATAAATCGTTCAGATTTCACACAGATCTAGCAATTCAACATTGGGCATCCATGAACCACTGTGCACCACGAACAAGAGCAAAATTGTGCTCCAGCACAATCTACTACCTTAGTCGTGTCACACAAATGCCAGACAATCACCATCTCTAATAAGAGGTCTAACAACTGCCCCTTAACATTCAATCATGTTACCATCACTGAATCCACTGCTAACATCATTCCAGGGTTGTCATTGACCAGAAATTCAACTAGACTCGCCACATAAATGCACTGGCAACACGAGAAGTCACAGGCTATGAATACTACGGTGAATAACTCACCTCCTGACTCCCTAAAGCCTGTCCACCATCTACAAGGCATAAGTCAGGATTGTGATGGAATAATCTCCACTTGCCTGGATGGGTGCAGCTCCAACAACACACAAGAAACTTGACACCAGTCAGGACAAGGCAGCCAAGTTATTGGAGTGTTGGTGCATGTGAAAACATTTCCTCATAAATAGAATATGGAAAAATATAGAGAAAATAAAACGAAGCATCTGGAGATTGTACACTTTTTGCATCAAAATAGAGACAGAGAAAACCAAGTTTGATAATGACATTTATAATTTTTCAGAGGAATAGTTGCTGTGGTCAATTGAAAGCTGCATCAGCCACATACCTGCTTAAGAGTTTTGATACTTTCGTGGATGGGCCGTGGTAATCCAACAACAGTATCCGTGTCACTGCAAAGAAAGAAATATTTCAAGATGCAATTACATCTGCAACCCTCTCTTATTACGTTTGAGTTCACAACAATATCCCTCCTACTCCCAGACTACATTCTCTATCCAAAATGTTAAATATTTGTCCCATGCCAATGCAACTGCTGTATTTTTCCAAGATTCCACAATAGGAATAAAAACAGATTTGCAGAAAGTCAAAATCCATTTAAAGCATCCAAGCGTGACTTTAAATTGTTGACCATACTCTTAATTTGCTGGTTTCTCAGCTACTCCTGAGACTGAGCATTCAGGGGCAAGGATCTATATCCTTTGGGCATTTAAAAGAAAATTAATTTGGACCCTTCTATATCAGGTTATCAAACATACAACCACGGGTTTCCTTATGCAGTCTTGAAATAACTCTTCAAAATACAGGGAAATAAAACAGATGGACCTACAAATATCTGCCCCTCCAATCACAGGCCATTTTTCTCTTTCAGTGGTCTGTAGTGGGAATGTTGTCAAGAGACAGTTAAACCCCAAATACTACTTCAGTGTTTCCCTCCCTCCCTCCTCCAACCAAAAACAAAAGTTACTGTGAGGACCCCAGGCAAGGGAAAGTGAGTGTTCTTGTCCTGCTACAAGTGACTACAAAGGAAAGAGCTGATTGATGAGTAGCGGGTAAGGCAGGTAAGTCCTCACAACTTCCATTGCTTGTACTCCTTTCTAGACTTCTAATCTGTCAGGGTAGTACACGGACCAGCAAAGAAGGGCCACGGGTAACCAGATTTGATTTAATCTAATACAAAGTACTCTCAAAGATATAATTCAAAGAATTAAACCATGACAGAAGAGCTCAAAGACTTGGTTTGCTCCTCTTGCTCCATATAGCAGGCCAGGGACAGTTCCAGTCCCACCCCTACCCCCGCCAGGTCAGTATGCGTGCAGGAAGTGTCTTCAGCTGTAGCTCCTGGAAGCTCGAGTTTCAGAGCTGGACTGGCGGCTGGGGACACTGTGGAGCATCCGCGAGGTAGACAGTAACATGGGTAGCACGTATAGGGAGGTGGTCATACCGCAGCCTCAGGCTCTGCAGGCAGTAAGGGAATGGGTGACCACCAGACAGAGCAGGAGAGATAGGCAGGTAGTGCAGGAATCTCCTGTGGCCATTCCCCTGCAAAACAGACATACTGGTGAGGGGAATGACCTTTCAGGGGAAAGCAGCAGCAGCCAAACTTGTTGCACCATGGTTGGTTCTGCTGCAGAGGGGAGGGGTAAAAAAATGTGTGCAAGGGCAATAGTTACAAGGGACTCAACTGTAAAGGGAACAGACCGGCGTTTCTGTGGCTGCAAACAAGATTCCGGGGTGGTATGTTGCCTCCCTGGTGCTTGGGGACAAGGATGTCTCGGAGCGGGTATAGGACGTTATGGAGGGGGAGGGTGAACAGCCAGCGGTCATGGTACACATCAGTACAAATGACACTGGTTAAAAAACGATGAGGTCCTAAAAACTGAATACAGGGAGCTAGGAAGTAAGTTAAGAAATTGGGCCTCAAAAGGTAGTGATGTCAGGATTACCACCGGTGTAATGTGTTAGTCAGAGTAGAAATGACAGGATATATCTGATGAACACGTGGCTGAAAAGATGGCGTCGAGGGAGGGTTTCATATTCCTCGGACATTGGGACCAGTACAAATTGGACAGGTTACACCTGGGCTGGACTGGGACTGATGTCCAAGGGGAAATGCTTGCTAGAGCTGTTGGGGAGGATTTAAACTAATATGCCAAGGGATGGGAACCTATGTAAGGAGTCAGAGAAGAAGGAGGGAGCAACGACAAAGACAAAAGGTAGAAAAGGGAAAAAGAAAAGTGATAGGCAGAGAAACCAAGGTCAAAATTCACACAGGGCTATTGAGAAAAATAAGGGCCAGGCAAACACAGTTAAAAGAACAAGCTTAAAGGCTTTGTGCTTTAGTGTGCGGAGCATTTATAATAAAGTGGATGCATTAATCGCGCAGATAGATGTAAAGGGGTACAATATAATTGGGATTATGGAGACATGGCTGCAGGGTGACAGGGATAGAAAGTGAATGTCCCAGAGTATTCAGTATGGAGGAAGGATTGACAAAAAGGAAAAGGTGGTGGAGTGGCATTGCTGGTTAAAGAGGAAATTAACACAATAGTGAGAAAGAATATTCTGACAACGTGGAGACTGTATGGATACAGTTGAGAAATACCAAGCAGCAAAAATCATTTGTGC